AGAGAGAGAGAGAGAGAGAGAGAGAGGAACAGAATAAATGGGGGAAGCACAGAGAGAGAGGGAGACGGAATCCAAAGCAGGCTCCAGGCTCCGAGCCGTCAGCACAGAGCTTGACGTGGGGCTTGAACTCAAGAACTGTGAGATCATGACCTGAGCTGAAGTTGGATGTTCAACTGACCAAGCCACCCAGGTGCCCCAATATTTTATTTTTTAAGTAATCTCTACACCCAACATGGGACTTGAACTTACAACCCTGAGATCAAGAGTTGCATGGCCTACCGACTGAGCCAGGCAGGTGCCCCATACTGACTATGTATGTACGTATTTATTTATTTAATGTGTATTTAATTTTGAGAGAGAAAAAGAGAGCACAAGTAGGGGAGAGGCAGAGAGAGGGAGACACAGAATCTGAAGCAGGCTCCAGGCTCCGAGCCGTCAGCACAGAGCTGGACATGCGGGGCTCGAACCCACGAACTGTGAGATCATAACCTGAGCTGAAGTCGGGCTCTCCACCGACTGAGCCACCCAGGCGCCCCCATACTGACTTTTTTAAAAAGCCTGATTCATCACCTTCAGAAGATGATGGGGAATCAATACATTATTTTGAAGAGTGGTATCTCTCTCTCTCAAAAATAAAAATTTTTTAAATTTAAAGATTTATTTTATTTTTGAGAGACAGTGCGCGAGTGAGTGGGGGAGGAGCAGAGAGAGAGAGAGAGAGAGAGAGAGAGAGAGAGAATCCCAAGCAGGCTCCATGACAGAGCTTGAGCCCACAACCCTAGGATCATGACCTGAGCGGAAATCAAGAGTCAGAGACTCAACCAGATGAGCCACCCAGGCGCCTCTGTCTTGCCTTTCTTATGATGAATGCGCCACTGGGAGCTAAATAGGACGTAATAAGCAGCATCTGGCAAGGGCAGCGTTCTATCTAACAAATGAGGAAGAAACACTAGGAGGACACCTCTATCGTGCAGCCGCAGTGAACCACCAGCTCACTGGCTGCCAGCCCCATGCAGGAGACACCATCAGAGTCTAAGTGTTCCGACAGAAGGTCCCAGCAATCCCCTAGCTGTGCCGGACAAGCCTGAGTCTGACCCCAGTTCTAGAACCAACTGCCAATCCGCAGGGAATGGGGAGGACAGAGCAACCCAAGTGTGGGATCCGCGACCGGCCCCCCCGCCCCGACCGTGGGAAATGCTCTGGGACAAACAGCCTGAGTTGGGCAATTGATTCATTGTAAGGGAAGGAAAGGAATGGAGGGGGACACCGTGAATTAGAAAAGACTTAAAAGACAGATCGTTTCCTTTTTGAATGGGCAAGACTAAACTTCGATGTCTGCAGACTCCTCCTTGGGCGACAGACAATTCAGAAACACAAAGCAGCGATTATTGCAAAAGTCACAACAGTGGTTACTTTGTGGAGCTGAGGCGTCCCTGCGCCTGGGCCCTGGTGCAGGGAGGGGCTTCTGGGGGTGCTGGCGACGTGCTACGTGTTGGCCTGGGTGGGGGTTATCATGACGGTCACCTTCGAGCTGGGTTTCTAATCTCAGCACTTTGACATTCAGGCCGGATGATTCTTGGCTGTGTGTGTTTGGGGTGGGGGGTGCCTTTAACAACATCCTTGGCCTCCGCCCACTAGATGGCAAAATCAGCTCTCCCGCACGCCATCAAGACAACTAAAAAATGTCTCCCACATATTGTTGGGTGTCCCCGAAGAGAAAAACCAGCCCTGGTTGGGAATCTCCTCTTCAGTAACTCCGTAAACTATGTACTTGGTTTATGTGGTTTCTTGGATCTGGCTCTGTGTGTGTATTTTTTTTTTTTTTTTTTTTTTAGCAAAAGTATTTTTACTTAAGTTTATTGATTTATTTGAGAGAGACCGAGATAGCACAAGAGGGTGAGGGGCAGAGAGAGAGAAGAGAGAGAGAAGGCCAAGCAGGCTCCACACTGCCAGCTGTGGAGCCCGACTCGGGGCTTGAACTCCCAAACCGTGAGACCATGACCTGAGCCGAAACCAAGAGTCGGCCGCTTCACCGACGGAGCCCCCCGGGGTGCCCCCGTTTGTATTTTATTTTACAATAAAAGTACTTGTAAATTTCCAGTTTGGGTTTCATGAGGAAACTGCACAGACATCTACAAAACGCAACACAAACCAACAAAAGGCTAGAAAAAAAAAGACAAAGACAATGGAAACAGCCCAGGAATTTTGTAAAAAGAGGAGTATCAAATATTGAACCGTATTCCTTCTTTCTTTTTCTTTCTTTCTTTCTTTCTTTCTTTCTTTCTTTCTTTCTTTCTTTCTTTCTTTCTTTCTTTCTTTCTTAGAAAGAGCCCATGAGCAGGAAGAGGGGCAGACGGGGGGAGAGAGAGAGAGAGAGAGAGAGAGAGAGAGAGAGAGAGAGAGA